GAGCGTTTTTCTCTGGTGTGTAGCAATGCTTGGAAAGCCAGTTTTTTTAACAAACTGCAGTTCCCAGGTTTCTGTGGTGGTGGTTGTGGTGGGGCAAGCCATGTGTTTTTAACGTGCTTTAAACATGCGTTGTAATTTTTCACATTGATGGAATATGCAGAAATGGCAAGTTTATCTAGCGAAATCAGAAATCAAGATGAGGCAGAATTCAAGGAGGATTGGAGAAAGTTTGTAGATTGTTTTTTTAAAAAAACTGTTGTAAACATGCTAAAACTCAAGTGGCTTTAGAGTACAAACAGCAGTAAAATACAGATTTGAAAATACTGTGGAAAAGGTAATATATAGAATAAGTAGCATGCAGCATAAATTAGAAAAATATGATTGTACATTGGCAAATGTTGCTTCAACTTTCTCTTTGAAATATATAAATAAAAGCTTATGAAAACAAATAAATGAAATAAACCTTTGGTGTGGATGTGACATACTCCCGTGATGTCTAGCCTCACCCTGTGAAGGTACAGCCATCCTTTCTGCATTTAAAGCAGCCTTGCAAAGAACCCTGGGAACTACAGTTCCCAGCGCCCTCGCTCAATTAAAGTTGCCAGGATTCTTTGTGGGGAGGGAAAGGGGCTTTAAGGGTACAGGCTTGTGTTCAACATAGTGCTCATAGTGCTAAGATTCTGCCAGCAAAAAGGTTGCGCAACAGAATCTCCTCCCCCTCGCACCCCCCTAAAACTGGTTGAAAATGGCCCTGGTGGGCATGCAGCCCCCAAGGAAAGGTCTGATCCAGTTGAGGTACAGTCAGTGTTAACTGGATCCACCAGTGGGTCCAAGGGGGCTCTTTTCTCTCTCTGCCTCCTTTCCTCTGAAACTCAGCACTGCAATGCTGAGATTGTCCAAGGCGTTTGGGTGCTTGAACCCGAAATTCTCTGCATCATGCTCCCATCAGGGCAAATTAACAATAATGCAATTGGCTTCATTAATGGTGACAGATTGGCACATGCATCGGATCTCTTGTTTTTGCAGCCCCTCTGGCCCATTGGATGGACGTGGGTGGCGCTGTGGATTAAACCACAGAGCCTAGGACTTGCCGATCAGAAGGTCGGCGATTCGAATCCCCATGACGGGGTGAGCTCCCGTTGCTCAGTCCCTGCTCCTGCCAACCTAGCAGTTCGAAAGCACGTCAAAGTGCAAGTAGATAAATAGGTACCACTCCGGCAGGAAGGTAAACGGCGTTTCCGTATGCTGCTCTGGTCTGCCAGAAGCGGCTTAGTCATGCTGGCCACATGACCCAGAAGCTGTACACCGGCTCCCTCGGCCATCATAGCGAGATGAGTGTCGTAACCCCAGAGTTGGCCACGACTGGACCTAATGGTTAGGGGTCCCTTTACCTTTACCTTTGGCCCATCAGATACTAAGGGGTGGTGAAGCTTGAGAGCCTGGCAGAATAACCTACATAAATATTGGGCTCCTGCAGATCTGTTTCTTGAGCATTTATGTGGATTCGCTTGCGCACAGCTTACACAGAGGTTAGGCAATATCTAGCTTTAATTTTTATATATATCTTATTGCTTTTATACTACACCTTTCCTCCGAGGAGCTCAGGGTGGTGTGCATGGTTTTCTCCCTTCCCCATTTTAAACTTCACAACAACCCTGTGAGGTTGTTTAGGTTGGGAGACTGTGGCTGGCCCCAGGTCACCTAGCGAGTGTCAGGTCTGCCTGGGGATTTGAACCCCGGTCTCCCTGTTGCTTTCCTAACCACAAAAAACATCTGTTGTCCGCCCTGCTCCACCTAGGATTTGTGGTTGCAGGGCAACAGCTAGGCACTTTTACCCATTAGAATTCTGCAAGCCTAAATTCCTTTCTGCGCCTGAATCCCTCCCGCAAAACACAGGCAGCCTGGAGGCGACAGATGTATTGCCCCTATAGTGGGGTTCAAAATTGGCTTCCAGAGGCATGCTGTTTCTCCTGGTGCCCAGTAGCATTGCTAGCCCTGCTGGAGGCAACCCCAGCGGCCAACTTGCTTTCTTCCAGGAATGTGCTCCCTGCTGGGGTGCAGTTACTGAGCAGCAGGGAAAGGCAGGCGGGTGTTGCTCTGCAGCTACAGCAACAAACAATAGGGTGTGTATGTGTGGGAAATTAGGGCTACAAGGAACCGACAAAAGAACATTCAGGCAGCTCTAAACCTGGCTGCCCCTGGATTGTCCAGCCAGTCTAACCGTCTGCGTCCCCCCGTTTCAATCTCCCCAGCATGGAGAGAAGCTTTTGTACCCTTGTCCAATGGATCTCAAAATTACGAGCTGCCTGGGCAGGCCCAAACATCTCCTGCACATTCCACAAGGCTTTGGCGACACTCTGCTCCCTGCCAGAGCCTGGCTTCCACATTTTTGGTCTTGTGCCGTGGTTGTGAGGTCCCCAGCGTCCTCCTAGCAGAGGAGAAGGTCCCCCGTTTCTTTGAAGTGCCTCCCATGCTCATTGATTGACAGGTGGTTGACAGGTCCCTGCTCCTACCCACAACACCTCTCTCAGTCGATGCCAGCATCATTGCCTAGCTGCAAATCTGGCTAATTCCAGAAGGAAGTGTAGCTTGGCAGCAGAGCATCTGCAAACATGTGGCACTGTACCTTGAAAGCCCATTTTTTGAGAGCAAAGTGGTACCTAACGTTTAGAGCAGCTCCAAATGTGTGAGCTGGGGCGTTCTTTGTTGCACCGAGAAATCTCTTGGCTGACGTTTGCAGTTGAAAGCGTGGCCTTTCTGGCAGAGAGTAAGCCAAGGCATGGGAGTGTTCCTATTCCCCTTTCCTGCTCAGTTAGTGATAGCAGCAGCCAAACATGCAAGCCAGAAGGATGTTTGTGGAAAGGATCTGTTTGTCTGAGCACTATGGGGCTGGGGTAGGAAGTGAGGAAGCAGGGGCCAGCCTCCCTCCCAGGCAATTGGGTGTGTGCCTTCCAGCATTAGTCCGATGGTGGTGGTTGTTTTTGAACCGGTGCCTAGCAGCGAAGTCATGTGATGAGTGCCGACGGAAATTGAGCCAAATGGGACCCCTGAGGAACGGGTGGGGGAGAGGGGTACAGAATGGAGTACAGTGGTACCTCGGGTTACATACGCTTCAGGTTACATATGTTTCAGGTTACAGACTCCGCTAACCCAGAAATATTACCTCAGGTTAAGAACTTTGCTTCAGGCTGAGAACAGAAATTGCGCAGCGGCAGCAGGAGGCCCCATTAGCTGAAGTGGTGCTTCAGGTTAAGAACAGTTTCAGGTTAAGAACAGACCTCCAGAACGAATTAAGTACTTAACCTGAGGTACCACTGTATCCTGGAGCAGGGCTGAGCAGGTCAGAGGCCTGATATATACTGCAGCATTTTATTGCAAGCCTCAGTTGTTTTCCGTAAGTGCCTCCTCGGCCATCGGAGGCCATGGGCACTTGCAAACCGAGACTCTGAATTTTAGCTGAATTCTCCCTCTTTCTTGTTAAATGCACTTTGATCCGCATGTTCTGGTTAAGAGCACGACAGGACCTTTCTCTGCCGGAAGGTTGCGAGCTTAATTGCCTGCCAGGGAAGGCAGAAGGGAAACCCTGAAACGTCCCTGAGCACCCTAGAGACAGGTTATCATTTGCAAACATTGCAAAGCAGTTTTCGGTGGCTGCAAAAAAGCCTATTGCCATAGTTACAGGCCTTTGCCCTCCCTACCACAGGGCCACTGAGGCCATATCAGGATGTGAAATAATGGGTCCAGCCCCAGCTGTTGGAGGAACCATTTCCTCTCCTCTCCCAGTCCATTTCCCTTTCCACCTGGCTGATCTGAACAGCCCCCCCCCAAACCGCCCCTCTCCCCACAGCTGTCTTGCTGACACTTCTCAGCCATCTTTGTTTCCTGCTTGCGTTTTGAGGGATGTTCTCTAATTCTGGAACGTTTCTCAGCAAAGCTCTATTTTTAACCGTACCCCCCTGGCTCCCGGTGGACTTGCTGTTTACTTTTCCATCCTTAAGAGTAGCCGACTTTGCGTTCTCTCAGGGTTCCTGCTTGTTCAGTGGGAACTCCCCAACAGGCTGCGTTCTTTCTTCAGGGCAATGCCGAGTGAGGTGGGAAGCGTTACCTGTTGAATTTCTGCTGCTTGCCTCAGATTGGTGCATCCGTTGACAGTGCAGGAGCCCTCTCAAGAGGGAAAGGCAGCAACCTTGCTGGGAGAAAAGGGTGGAGGAGGTAGAAGAAAGGAGGAATGAAAGGGGAAATGCCCTGAAGAAGAAGATGTCTGAAAAGGTGGAATTTGTAGCTCATGGCAGCTGTTTTTGGTGGAAAACAGGATATGGGAGAAAGGTTTAGCCCTAATAGGGTTCTCTTTGTATGCTGGGGCTAAGTACAGTGGTACCTCGGGTTAAGAACTTAATTCGTTCCGGAGGTCCGTTCTTAACCTGAAACTGTTCTTAACCTGAGGTACCGCTTTAGCTTAATGGGGCCTCCTGCTGCTGCCGCGCCACCAGAGCACGATTTCTGTTCTCAATCTGAAGCAAAGTTCTTTACCCGAGGTACTATTTCTGGATTAGTGGAGTCCGTAACCTGAAGCGTCTGTAACCCGAGGTACCACTGTACACTTTTTAGAAAGTGTGCTTAACACAATGTGTAGTTGGACCCCGTAATAGGAAACCTCAGGGCTAAATGCAACCTACCACGACTCTCTGTATGGTCCTCAGCTCTCTCTCCAGGCCACACCCCCTTTCACCAGGTCACACCCCTTTCCCTCCAGGCTGCACACCTCACCAGCCTTGCTTTGTGCTCTTCCTGGGAGTTTTTGCCTTGCTGGAATGCGTCCTTGAATTCTTATGATTCTTGCTTGCCTGGATGGTGGCCAGAAAGAACCACAGAATTGGAAGGGACCCTGAGAGTCATCTAGTCCAACCCCTGCAATGCAGGAATCTCAGCTAAAGCATATTACATCCTGCACATTGCTCAAGCCAGGAATCTGACTATCCATTGTTTTTATATCTCCTCAGAACAGTCATGGACTTGTGGTTCCTTCTGCCTCTGTGTGGGATCTTGATAGGATCTGCAGTAGCAGGTAAGCTTGTGGAGGGCCAGCGAGGAGGAGGAGGAGGAGGAGGAGGAGGAGGAGGAGGAGGAGGAGGAGGAGGAGGAGGAGGAGAAACGGCTGAGAATGTCTGCTGTGACATTTGGGCATTTCGTACTATGCGCAAAAAGAAAACCTAGTTCAAAAATGCACTGCACCTTATAGTCAAAAAGGATCTTGGTGAGGTGAGCCAGGGTGGTGTAGTGGTTAGAATCTCGGACTAGGACCTGGGAGACCAGGGTTCAAATCCACACTCACTGGGTGACCTTGGTCTAGTCCATGGGTAGGCAAACTAAAGACCAGGGGCCAGATCCAGCCCAATCGCCTTCTCAATCTGGCCCATGGACGGTCCGGGAATCAGCATGTTTTTACATGAGTAGAATGTGTCCTTTTATTTAAAATGCATCTCTGGGTTATTTATGGGGCATAGGAATTCGTTCATTTCCCCCCCAAAAAATATAGTCCGGCTCCCCACAAGGTCTAAGGGACAGTGGACTGGCCTCCTGAAAAAGTTTGCTGACCCCTGGTCTAGGCACTGCCTCTCAGCCTACTTTACAGGATTGTTGTGGGGATTAAATGGGGAAGGGGAAAACCATATATACTACCTCAAACCTCTTGTGGGGGGCAGGGGCAGCAGACGGTAGGATAAAAATATAATAAATCAAATAAATAAACCTGAACTTGCCAGTATTTGCTTGAATGTCACCCAAAAATAGCAGGTGTCTGAAAGTGCCACTTATATATCCAGGCCTTTTTGGTGTTGTTTTTGTTGTTATTTCTTAATTTATATGCTGCTTAGTTGCCAGGTGGGATAGGAAATGCAATTTAAAGAGGAGGAAAGGTGGGATATAAATAAAAATAAATAATAAAAATAAAATATTTCCCCCCAAATGGGGTTTATCAAGATCATGGGAAGTTATTATAACGCTAAGTAGTTCAGTATAAAGTGATTGATTAATGGGGGCGGGGCAGGGTAGATTAAAGGATAACTGTATTATTAATCTCCTCTATATATGTGTGTGTGTGTTTGCCTCTTTCAGAACCACCACAACCCAAGGACATTCCACACGACCCATTCAATTATGGTGAGCCAGTTGTTACTACCTGGGGTTAGGAGATAGATGGCAAGGGCGGAGACCCTCTGACAGACTTTTGGAAACAAAAAAACGTGTTCTCCAATCTCCTCATTTTTTAAATTAAAAAACTACAGCTTTAAAAGAGGTGCAGATGACTCTGGCTTGGAGCGCAGCACTGATGCAAAGGAGAGTTTTTTTGTGTGTTTTTTAACCTTCCGTCACCACCTGTGGAGGCTATTTTCCTCAGCCTATGTCTCAGCCTATGGATGGAGACCCATCCATTCGAGCAAGTGGGGCACTGCTGCACCAAGATCAGTCTGTCCCCAGCCAGCCCTCACATGTCTGCCTACCTCTTCACTGACTCTGGTAGTCAGCTTTCTATTCCTTAGTCTCAGTGCTGGCCTTCTAGGACTCAACAGGGAGGAGGAAACCTGTGCCACATTTACACCGTGCCTTAAAAGTGCTGTGATACTGCTTTAAACAGTCGTCTCTTCCCCTCGCCCCCCAAGAACCCTGGGAGCTGTTGTTCTGAGAGTTCTTAGGAGACACCTATTCCTCTCACGGGTCTACAATTTCCAGAGCGGTCTCGCAGTCAATCCCTCTCCATGGGGAACTGTGGGAATTGAAGCTCTGCGAGGAGAATGGGGCCTCTTTTCCTTAGTTGGCGCTTGCTATCATTGGCTTGGGGACGTGGGTGGCACTGTGGTCTAAACTACTGAGCGTAGGGCTTGCCAATCGGAAGGTCAGCGGTTCGAATCCCCGCGATGGAGTGAGTTCCCATTGTTCGGTCCCAGCTCCTGCCCACCTAGCAGTTCGAAAACACATCAAAGTACAAGTAGATAAATAGGTACAGCTCTTGCGGGAAGGTAAATGGCGTTTCTGTGTGCTGCTCTGGTTCGCCAGAAGTGGCTTAGTCATGCTGGCCACATGACCCAGAAGCCGTCTGCGGGCAAACGCCGGCTCCCTTGGCCTATAGAGAGAGATGAGCGCCGCAACCCCAGAGTCGTCCGCGACTGGACCTAACAGTCAGGGGTACCTTTACCTTTAGATATCATTGACTTGGGAGCTCCGCCTATGGTTTGGGCTACCAGAATTTCGCCCTACCCATCCCGATGGGCACCAGCTGCTATTGATCTGGAGAGCATCGGGTTGGGGAACACTGATGCAAAGCATCACAAGAGCGTCCCCTCATTCCAAGTTGGGGATATGTTCCCACCTGGAAATGACCACTTCTTCCTTCTCCTTCCTTCTCAGATTACCACTCGCTGAGAATTGGGGGGCTGGTTTTTGCTGTCGTCCTGTTCCTGCTTGGCATTCTCATTGTGCTCAGTGAGTAGATTCTCTCCTTCTCTCCCCCCAGCCCCCCCCAATTCCCTGCCTTATAATGAGCCAAGCTGAGCCATGGCACCTGCTGAATTTCCCCAACATTGCGACTTTAATAAAATGCAGCTGCAGAAGCTGCAGGTGTGGGGAGGAAGGGCTCCTTTCACACACCTGTTTAGTAGAGGGCTGATCTCTCAGGGCAAAAGGGACACTGCCCCACCAGCTCTCAGCCTGCCCTCTGCCAGCCCCAACTTTGCTTTCTTACTTACATCCAGCATACATGGTATTACTGGCTATCCTTGTCCTCAATCTCAGTGTCATAGAAGTCATCAGGGAGGCGGATGTGGACAAAACTAGAATTAACGTGCTCTGGCGCCACCTACTGTTGACCTCCCTGCCTCACCAGTTCCAAATGGGAACCAGCCACCACTGTCCAGTCGTTAGTTTTTCTCCTCTTAAGACCCACACCGCGGGGCTCAGTTGCACACTCTGTCTCACACACCGGATACTTGTACCTTTTCTCTTGAGGAGTGAAAAGCAGCTGGTGGGGGCAAGGTAGGAGGGGGAAACTACTGAAGGGAAATGGATCGAGGAGCCCATGTGGACATATGGCTCAGTCAGTAGAGCATGAGACTCTTAATATCAGGGTTGTGGGTTCGATGCCCACATTGGGCAAAAATAAAAATAAAAATCCCGCATTGCAGGTGGTTGGACTTGATGACCTTTGTGGTCACTTCCAACTCTAGAATTCTATGATTTTATATATGAAGCTGTCTTTTACAGAGTCAGGCATTTGGCCTGCCTTGTCCACTATTTCTGCCTCTGACTGGAAGTGGCTCTACAGGGACCCCAGCAGATGTATTTCCCATCGCTCACATCCCTGGAGACACCGGGGATTGAATTTGGGGCCTTCCACAGGCAAAGATACGTGCTCTGCCATAACTTTCTACTGCCACCTTCTGGTGGTCTTCTACAGCACGTTGACAGCACATGCAGCTACTAAGTGTCACCAGGCTCGTGGATAAATTGGAGCCTCTGAGATACAGGAGGGTGTGTTGGCATCCTTGGGGGAACCTTGAGGTTTGCAGAAGGAGAACACATCAAGGGGAAACCCGTAGTGGGGCATCTTCTCCAAACGAAAGAGCAACCCAAGGAAAGCTGCTTGTGTCCTCAGAATGCCGTTGAGAGGATGTCTGGAATGGAGTTTTCGGGAGGAGGACATGGCTGGCTGGAACCCCGAGCAGCGGCACTCTGTGCTGCAACATTTTGTTGCAGGTCTCACTTGTAGTCTCTGAGCCCCATGTGGACCTCAGACTGTTGATCTACTTAGCTCAAGACTGGCTGGCTTCAGTGCTCTTAAGTTTAGTCTTTCCCATCCTGTCTTTAGATATTTTGTGAATTGGAGTTGGGACTGTCTCTATGCATTCTGCCACTGACCCGTGGGCTCCTTCTAATGTGGGCTGCTTTCTGTTCCAACCACTTGGCAACACTCCCTTCCCAAAAGAATGCTGGCAATCCCAGAGTCTTTGCTTCTCGCCTGTCCCAGTACTGATTCTCTTTCACTGTTTGGGATTTCTCTCTCTCTTTCCCAGGTCGACGTTGTCGCTGCAAGTTCAACCAGCAACAGAGGTAATGCCTTTCTCCTGAAAAGCTTAAATGAGTGGGTGACCTAGGATGGAGGGGCTATTATATATGGCAGATGCAGACAGGTGACCTAGCAAGGAGGGAAAAAAAGTAGCACACTCAAATTATGAGTCTTGGAGAATGTGACATTATAACCTGAACAGGACAACAGCGCCCTCTAGAGCATCTGTGATCCGACCATTCCTCCGGAAGTCTGCAACAAACTGATATCCTGTCTTTTATTCTTCAGTATGCATTCTGAGGTTGATAATCATTTATTGCAGTACCTCATCTAATCAAAAACAGCTAAGCGTTCTTGTAATACAAGTTTTAATGAATCATCAAGGAGGTGGAATCGACCTCTAAAGAAATTCTTGATTGGCAAAATATACTTTATCTCTTGTGCCAGTAGTCTATTACACAAATAGGCCAAAAACTGATCTGCCTCTGTGAACAAACAGTCTTTGCCTCTCTTCTTGGAACCCTCCAATCAGGAGGCCAAAGATATTCTCTCACTCAGAAATTCTCTTCTATAAGGAACTCTGCACATGCTCTGAAATCCAAGACTTTGCTTAAGCAGGTAAAATGTAACTAGCTAGGTCAGGCTGATTTTTCTTTTGCTTTGCAAGTCTTGTGTATGATTTTGTTGCCTTCCCTTTATTTATTATTATTTAAAATGTTTGTATACCGCTTCTCATTAAAACAATACCAAGGTGTACAGTAAAACAGTTTGGTACAAAACAACAAGAAGTACAATCTACAATCGGAAAAAGATCTTCCCACACACCCTTTCCTCCAGATAAAAACTATTTACACTTGGACATTTGGCTTCGCTCATTTCCATAGGAATTTCTCACTAAAAGCTTCCCCATGTGCTAAGAGTACACAGTTGTTAAGCTGCCTCCTTTGTTTTCTTAAGGAGCTTTCACAAGAGTTTGTTTATTTATTTCTTTATATATATATTTATAGCCGGCACTTTCATAAAAACATATCCAGGTGGTATGCGACATATAAGGATAAAATCAGCCAAAAGCACCCATAAATACATCAGTAAAACATAGTGATTGCTTAAAAAGAGATGGTTCGTGACAATATAGTTTTCAAAAGACATCTTAAAGAAGGAAGGGATGGTTCCTGCCGAACTCTAGTGGCAGGGAGTTCCGCAGGGCAGGGCATGCCCCATTCAAGGCTCAGTCCCTCGTTTAGACCAACCCAGCCTTAGGAGCGTTGGGAACCAGCCAGAAGTCATCCATCAGACAGTCTCAGTGACTGAGGTGGATCGTAAGGAATCGGGCAGTCCTTAAGGTATTTGGACCTCAAGTTGTTTAGGGCTTTATGAATGAACACAAGTAACTTGAATCTGGCCTGGTAGCAAGACAGCAAATTGTTAAACTTGGGGCTTTGGAAAAGTAAATGCAACGCTTCTCCCTCCCTGCCAGTGGCGTAGCGTGGGTTGCCAGCACTCCGGGCTACCTGGAGGAGAGAGGGTGAGAAGGAGGGAAACAGAGACAGAGAACGCATGTGCATTCAGCTGCCTAACAGCATCTGCGGCACCCAAGAGATTGCAGCTGTAGAGATAAGAAAAGAAGAGTTGTTCCATTGCCCGGAGAGGTTCTCATGGAGAGGCCGTTTTCAACAGAGCCCAGCAACGGAATCGCACAACTGTATTGAGACAGCACCAGGTGTTGAAATTTGGCGGCCTTAACAATTTTGCACCCCTGTGGCCCTCCCCACGCTACGCCACTGCTCCCTGCTCCCCCACCACAATAGTTGGGTTGGAAGAAGGGGTCCTTGGCAGTAGGGTTCAGACCACCAGCCCTCCAAATAGTCATCCCTTTTGGGCCCATGGAAATGTGAATAAATCCATAGTTGGCAAGGCTCAATGGCTCGCATCACCTTAATTAACCATTTCTGTTGGTGCCCTGAGTAGTTATTTTATCTGTCAACAGGAGGAGCTATTGCTTTGCACTTGTACAAAACACCATGGTTTTTAAAAAACAGAAATTGCTGCAGGATACGAAGAGAGCAAGGCATTTTTGTTAAGCACAGCATGACAAATATTTTTTTCTATTTACAGGACGGGTGAACCTGACGAGGAGGAGGGGCCCCTGCGCAGCTCAATTCGGCGTAAGATCCAGCCTACTTTAGTTATCCTTCACTTTCCCCTGCTGCACCCTTCTTTTCCTCATGCTTGAGGACTAGACACTTTAAAAAGAAAACCGGGGAGCTGAGCCTTGTGCCTACGTCAGATTTATTCATTTCGTTAAAAACTTTTTATTTGTTTATTTTGTAAAAATTACACACTGCTTGATTGTAAAAGCAAAACAAAACAAAAGCTTATATATATATTAAGGGGTTGGCAGAAGGTAGATTGAAATCTGCTGGTAGGATTTCTAAGTGTGTTGGAATAGATTGGCAAGGACTCAGGTGTTTAACAATAGCAACCAGGATATGACTTTTCCCACCTTAATTGAGCGGCTGAAACAAAGAAAGCGAGTGGACTTTCCTTAAGGATGGAGAGGTTTGATCTTCTTGCAGTCCATGGGACTCTCAAGAGTCTCCTCCAGCACAATAATTCAAAAGCATCAATTCTTTGGCGATCAGCCTTCTTTATGGTCCAGCTCTCACTTCCATACATCACTACTGGGAAAACCATAGCTTTAACTATACGGACCTTTGTTGGCAAGGTGAGGGCTGTTAGGAGACCAGAGTTCCCAGAGTGGATTAACAATCAATTCTTCTTTCCAGGGAACTTTGGGAATTGTATCTCTTTGACAGGATCCAGCCAGGCAAAAAAAAAAAAAAAAACCAAAAAAAAAAAACTTGAAGCACAAAGAAAGGCCCGTGAGGAGGCTGTGGCCTGAGGAGGGCCAGATTGAGATGTCTGAAGGGCCGCGTTCCATCCCCAGGCCTCAGGTTTCCCCACCCGTCTGCTAGATCCTGCGCTGTGGGGCAAAATGTGTTTTGGGACTGCTTTGATTTGTCATGTAACAGGACACACTGCTGGGGCAAACTGTTCCTGCCTGGGGTGGATTAGGGAAAAAAGAAGGAAAGAAAGCTTAAAGCCTTTTAGGGAAACAACCGTTTTTTAAAAAAACTGTCTCTTTCTGACTCTCCTTGCTAGGTTTATCCACAAGGATGAGATAGAAGAAGCCTGAAACTGGTGAGTTGCATATACCGCAGGACTGGGGAGATGGACAGACTGGTTGGGCTCTGGGTCCCGCTAGCATGCTCTGAAAATCAAGTCGACAGCTTTGCTCATAGTTTACACTGTATTGAAATTGAAAGTGATGATAGAACTTTCCAGTGAACACTACCGAATGAGCAGTGTGTCACAGTGGTTAGACTGGGACTAGGACCTGCTTGGCCAGGGTTCAATCCAGGGATATTGTGGGAAATGCTGAATGGTGGCTCGCACACCCTGCCAATAATGCTGATTGGAACACTAGAGGGGTTAAAGAGGGGGCTGTGGGGCAGACACCAGTAGGGCAGGGTCTGCCGGACCCCTGGCAGCCAGTGGAGGCTCATCCATTGGGGCGAATGGGCATTCCCTTGCCAAGCTCAATGAACTCAGCCTGCCTGCCTTCTTACTTCCAGCCAGGGGTTGGCACTACCTGCCATCTTCCTGGCCCCTATCCTCAGCAGGGAAGAGGCCAATGGAGAGAAAACAAGAATTAGTTGCCTCTGCCAGACATTGTCTCTAGCGCCACCTACTGTCGGTCTCCCTGCCTTAAAACCTACCAGTTCCAAAAGGCACTCCACTACTTGTACCCAGAGTCTGGCTGCCTAGGGCTTTTAAAGGTGAACCCTGTCCCTTTTAATTTAGCCAGGCACCTTCAGGCCTGCAATTACAGAGAGGCCTGGAAGTACACAAGAAGCTGCCTTATCCTAAGTCAGCAGCTTTCCAGGATTCAGGCAAGAGTCTCTCCCAGACCTATCTGGCGCTGATGGGATTCACCCTGAGACCTTCTGCATGCCAAACACGTCCTCTCCTACTGAGCCACAGTCATTTCCTCTAAACTTACTGTGGGACACCTCACAGAGCAGTATGTCGTTGAGAACCATCTGGAGAAACTGTGATCTTATCGTGGCTTTTTGGGGTCATCTGTTGGGCTTCTGCCTTTCTGGATTTATTTTGAACTTAACTCCTTCTGGGCCTGACTTTTCTTTTTCTCCTCCCAGGCTGCTCCTGACATGTCGTTCCCCCCATGATCCAGTCCTGTCTCTGCACTGCACACAGCCCTCGCCTCCCTGCCCCCCAGCAAGCCGCCTGCCTTTTGCACCAAACCTGGCAAAACGCCAGGCCTGCTGTCTTCGTGGTGATCCCAGCCTAACTTGGAAGTGCTTAGCTTGCTGTGAGACTCCGAGAGAAAGGGGTTGTCGTCCGGCGCATTTTGCTCAAGCTTAGTCCTCATCCTAGGCGATGGGGGATACTAAATCTGCCTCCCTGGTGCTCAAACGGTTACGATGAGACTTCCCAAGAGCGGTGGTAGAAATGATTTTCGGACATATCTAGGCATAAAGGCTGGCAGCTCTGTCCTTGAAAAGAAAACAGAAGGGGTGTTCTTCTTCCAGAGAAGCTAGGAGCTCATCCAAAGTGGGGGGTTGCTTCCACTGGCCTTTCAGATTGTCACTCAGTGCAATCTCAGTGCAAGTGCAGAGTGCAAGGCAGCCTTTTCTGACTCGGTGCGTTCCAGATCTCGTTGGACTCCCAATTCCCATCAGACCTGGCCAGCGTGCCCAATGGCCAGGGATGAAGGGAGTTGCAGTCCTGACAACATTTCGATGGCACTGTTTTGGGGAAAGCTGAAGGTGAGCACTGTCTCCAGAAGTTGTTGACACCTGTCTGTCTCAAGAGACAATGGAGTGTGCCTCGGGGGGTGAAGTCTAATCGCTGTGTTAACAGCACCAGAGTGTCCTCCCCAGGGTGCAAGCCTGGGCAGTGTGTATGGAGGTCCCAGGCTGCCCAGATGGCAAGACCCCTCTCTCAGCCTTGCTGATGTGGCCCAAAGGAAAGCAGAGCAATACGTTTAACAGCAGCTTGGCTGTAGGAGTTGCTGGACAGAGGCATACAAGGCACCATCCAACCACCTTGGGAACTGCAGATTTGCGTAGGGTTTACTCCTTAGGCTAGTCTTCTCCTGAAGACATCCCTTAAGGCAGCAGAGGTCTAGGATCAGAGTCTTCCTTCTCCTAGATGGGCTGTCTTCCCAAATTGACGAGGAGCCCCATTTGCCCTCACTTCCCTCTGCAGGACATGCAGAAATCACCTTCTTGACCATTGGGCCCAATATTGGTCTCATCTACTCCATCTGCTGGAGCCTGTCTTCATATGCAGGGGAAGTCCTTAACTCACTGAGGTTTGAGACCCATCGGCTACCCTCGCCTGGTTTAGCCGGCCACTTTAAGTCACTTCCCAGAGTGTGGCTGCTGTCATATGCTGACAGCTTCTAGGAGCCACAGATGAGAGCTGAGTGCAGGGTGGGGCCCAACGCTGAACAAACTACCCCAGAAGGAGCACAATGTGTCCCCCATCAGAGGTACTACCCCTCTCCTAACATCCCACCCCACCCCCAGGAAAAGGGTGATGAATAATGCAGCCCTAACCGTGAGGCTCCCTAACCAGGATTTTGCAATTTCCCCCAGAGCCTATTTGTTGTATTTAGCAGCTGCAGCCACAAGACGTAGTGGGGAATGTTCATTTTGTTCCTGTCTGGTGGAGTGCGAGTTCCCAGCCCTGCCAAATGCACAATAATACACTCTTATAAATGGGAAGGGAGTATGAGATCTTTCCTTTTTTTATGAGAGTAAATTGAGGCCTTTCTTTCTTGAACAAAAAATAGTGACAGTTTCGACAGGAAGAAGAAGTTCTGGCCTTATTACAAGCTTGCTTTTTTGCCAAGAACTTCCTACAGTCAGTGCAGAATATCCAGCTGTTGGGCTCAGCAAGCTGGCTGGATCTAACCAACTAGGGATGCAGAAGCCGTAGCCCTTCCAGATGTGATAGGACTCTCAACTCAAATGCCTATGGTAACTGGGGCTGCTGGGAGTCCAGCACCAAATTAGAGGACCACGGCTTCCCCATCCTTAGCCTAAATCTTTGCCTGTGGCATAGCAATGCAGCCTGGCTCTGAAAATCCAGACCAGAACTGGAAATCTGCTCCCAGGTGCCGATGCTTCAAATAATAAAACCCGGAGGCAGAAAGTAATTCCCGCCTTTGCCCTGAGTGTTGGGTGTGTAGGATGCAATAAATGAGTGTGTACGCTAGTTCTCCTGTTATACCGCCTTCACCTGCTTGGAAAAACGACCTTGCTGCGTGCGGTATCATTTGAGGTTACCTGCATTCTCTCGCCACAGAGCAGTGTGGTTTCTTTCCAGCAGAGGGCAGTGCCATAACATCCACCTGCTTCGGTTTCGTCTAGGCTGCGTAGGAGGAGCAGGTGTGGGTGGCACCTGTCAAAGCTTCATGCCTGATGCTCTTTGTGCTGCTGGCCCTTAGGAAAGCTCTCCACTGAGCCCCGTTCCCCTGGTTTCGCTGACCCCTTTCTATGTTCCTGACCTTTTATGTCTGCCAAGTCTCTTCCACGACATTAAAATGCTACTTTCTCCAGCTGCGGTGAAATGTCAGACTTTGCTCTCTCTGTGTATCTGTGTGCTTGTGCATGAACGAGCTTGAGAGAAGTAAGACATGGGTGGTATTTTGGGGAATTTCCACACACAAACTCCCAGGTGCCTTGCTCAGATATAGAACTATCTCCTTCACCGAATAACAGCTATACCAAACAGCTGTGGAGGGCTCCACATTTCCCCATTGTGAGTTTAATTGCCTAGCTTCCCCTAAGGCAGGAGTGACTTGCTACCTAGGCTGGGGGCCTAATCCAGCTCCTGCAGCAATTCCACCCCCACCCCCTCAATTTCGCAGCAGCGACAAAGATACAGTCATACCTTGGGTTACAGATGCTTCAGGTTGCGTTTTTTCCGGTTACGGATGTGCTGACACCTGGAAGTACCGGAATGGGTTACTTCTGGGTTTTGGCAGTTGTGCATGCGCAGAAGCGCTAAATCGCGCTTTGTGCATGCGCAGAAGCACTGAATCGCAACCCGTACATGCGCAGCTGTGGCGCTGCGGGTTGAGAATGCTGCAGGTTGCGAACGTGCCTCCTGCATGGATCACGTTCGCAACCCGAGCGTCTGCTGTAATATAAATTAGGGTTCACAGGCTGGATACCTCAGTCGGTAGAGCATGAGACGACCCTAGGGTCATGGATTTGAACCCCACATTAGCTGAAAGATTCCTGCATTACAGAGGGTTGGACTAGATGACATTTGTGGCCCCTTCCAGCTCTACAATTCTCTGATTCTATGAGTTCCATCATAGGACTGCAAGTCACCCCCACTGTGGTCATCACATTGACCATTTGATGAACAATAACCCCGCTCCTCTGCTGACCAGAGCACCTGTTTTGCATGCAGAATTTTTCTGGCTCATTCCTCACCTACTACAAGCAAGGCTAGGTGAGACGCCCTGTGTGAAAAACTGGAAAATGTCTGCCAGGCACTGTAGACGGTGCTGAGCTAGATGGACCAGTTGTCCCTGACTCAGTATAGCGTAACTTCTGTGTTCCAGAATCACAGAACTGTAGAATTAGAAGGAACCCCAAGGACCATCTAGTCCGTCCCCCTGAAACACAAGACTCTTTTTGCCTAAAGGGGCGTTTGAACCCATGACCCTGAGATGAAGAGGCTCATTCTCTACCAACAGAGCTTTCGCAGGTCCTGTTCTTCCTATGGATCAGCTGAGGATAGGCTTATTGGGGGAAAAGAAATGCCTAGCTATGTTTTGAGCTGGTAACGTGCACATAGTAAAGGTAAAGGTACCCCTGCCCGTACGGGCCAGTCTTGACAGACTCTAGGGTTGTGCGCTCATCTCACTCTAGAGGCCGGGAGCCAGCGCTGTCCGGAGACACTTCTGGGTCACATGGCCAGCGTGACGAAGCTGCTCCGGCAACCAGCACCAGAGCAGCACACGGAAACGCCGTTTACCTTCCCGCTATAAAGCGGTACCTATTTATCTACTTGCACTTAAGGGTGCTTTCGAACTGCTAGGTGGGCAGGAGCTGGGACCGAGCAACGGGAGCTCACCCCGCCACGGGGATTCGAACCGCCGACCATGCGATCGGCAAGTCCTAGGCGCTGAGGTTTTACCCACAGCGCCACCCGCGTCCCAACGTGCACATAGCCTTAGTTAAAAGCACAATCTGCTGAGAAAGAGTCAGTGTTTCTTATGTGTAAGAAAGAGTGCCCTAGGTTCGGAACCATGTATTCTCTCGGTTATCTGCACCATCTATTGACTCCAGTTCCAAAGGAGCCTACTTCATCCAGATGACAGATTGTTTCTGTGTAAAAAAAAAGACTGAGCCTCACAGATGTGCAACTGTTGTGTGCCCCCTACTTCCATGAGCCATGAGAAGTTTTTGGGGAAGCTCCACTTCCTTTGTCTTTTCCAAAGCTTTCGCTTGCTTCCTGCCTTCCACACTTGTGTGTGCACTGACACACACCAGCTTCCTCGGCTGGAATGGCATCACCTTTGCTGAGGCCCGTTGGGTATCTTATTCAAAAACGCGGAGAGAGCCTCAGCTGGCAGGAGACCATCTCTAAACCATGAGCTCTCATTGACGAAACCTCAGCTGGTCATGTGGGACTATTCACCAGCAATCTGCAAGGCACAAATGTGACAGGGCCAGGCCACAAGTGCCTGCAAGTAAGGGATTGTTTAATGCCACTCTTGTTTGATGCCCTCTTGATGTTTCTGACTACAATTCCCATCAACCCAAGCCAGCATGATGATGGGAGCTGTAGTTCCAGACAAATAGAGGGCACCAGGATGGGGAAGGCAGGAGTCCTACATGAGCTTGCACACAAGGCTTGACGGTTGACAGGGAGACGGTTTCATCAAACAGCCACGCGTCTTACATGAAAATCAAAACTGTTTTCTTCTCTGCCTTCCACTTGTCCCTCTAGGCCTGGCTCAGGGACTGGCGCAACTCCCCAAAGTCTTAAATAAGCTGCCCTTGGGGGCTCCCTGTACAGCTTCCTTGAACGCTGCTTTGTCTCTGTGACTTGAGTGGAAAATAACAAAAATCTCCAGGGGAATGTAAGGTTTCCATTTCCCCAGGGCTCGGATCTCCAAAGCTGGGTTTCAGCTTCCAAAGAGGTAATCATGTTAATCTGCTGCAGCAGAAACAACAGAGGTTTTTGATGCCTGAAAAGCTAATAGATTAGGTGTGGCAAAGCTGCTGTGGATCTAACTCCACCATTAAACCAATATAAAGCATTGTCCTCAGCTGTGTATGTGTGTGCAGGCGCCCCCCATTTATGTGGGGGCTACGTTCTGGGTCCCTACATGCATAAGGGAAATTGGGCAAGTGGGGAGCACCCTCTGAAAAGCCTCTCAATGCCCATTTTCTCCCTCCTGCTCTCCAGCTCTCTCTCCACTCAACTGTCTCTTCAACTAGAGTTGAAGCTCTGGGGCCAGCTGGAGGAGGTGCAGGAAAACAGCTGCTGCACTACTGCTCATGTCAGCTGCTAGGTGGGGAGGCTGAGCAGCCTAAACAAAGCCTCTCTGCACTTCAGGTCTCTGTGGGGCTTGCTCTGCCCTTACTAAAGCTCTTTTCAGGGTGGGAAGGGTCTCCTCTCAAGCCATGAAGACTCTCCAGCTGTCTCCTGCCATTTCCTGGTTTGAATCTATCTATTTCCCAGTGCTGCGTGTATATGTGGTTGCATGTAAGTGGGGGATGCCTGTGTTGGATCAGGCCAATGGCTTAACTAGTCTCACATCTTGTTCTCATAGTGACCAATCAGATGCTTCTGCGAACCCTACAAAGCAGGACATGAGCATAACAGCACTCACATGGAATCACAGAACCATAGAGTTGGAAGGGACCCCAAGGGCCATCTAGACCGACCCCCTGCAATGCAGGAATCTCGGCTAAAACATCCATGACAGGTGGC